ATACCACCTATGAGAAATTAATGAGAAATGTAAAGTTCTTAGGCATCCAGAGAGAATTCAAGAAATGGGGAGATGTAATCAGGGAAGTCTAAGTGTTTATTTGGGTGATTTAGGATGGCATGTTTTTAGAGATTCTGATTTTACACAGAGATGACTATAATGGCCTAGTTTATCCAGGATTTTAATATAACATTGCTTATTAACTTTCCTCCATGTTTTTCTTCCTTCCTCCTTCCCTGCCTTTACCCCTCTCTTTCTCTCCTCTTTCCTCTCTTCCTCCTGGTCTTCATAACATCTTTTCTCTCTCTTTCTTTTTTTTAATCTTTACCTGAGAATACGTTTTTTAAATTTTTTTTTTTTTTTTTTTTTTTTTTTTTTTTTTTTATTGGTGGCGAGAAGAATGAGAGAGAGAGAGAGAGAGAGAGAGGGGGGGGGAGAATGAGAGAGAAACATTGATGTAAGAGAGAAACTTCGATCAGTTGTCTCCTGTACACGTCCGCACAGGCAATTGAACCTGTAACCTAGTTAGGTGCCCTGACCGGAATAGACCCCACAACCTTTTGCTGTGCAGTACAATGCTCCAAGAAGCTGAGCCACCCAGCCAGGGCTCCTCTCTTTCCTTTTTGATGTATGTAAGCATTGCTATTAAGTTAAGGTCACTGGGTAGCTACTCTAGGGGGAGTATGCAGAGAACCTAACACAGAAGAATCTCCCTTATTCTCAGTTCCATTCTCTAGGAAGCAGAGGAACGTTAAAATCTTGTAATCTCCTTCACCACCCTCTATTCTTATTAGCAGCCATCTATGTATATGTAAAATTTACTTCTACTACAGCAAATTTTAGGGTAGCTCTTCAGTTTTGCCCTGAACCATGATGCCTAAGGGTTCAATTTAGTCAGGCATGGTTTTCTTCTAGAAGACAGGATAGATTATTCCCAATGTTTTGAAAGAAATTTGAAGATCTAGTGATGATAAAATTGAGCCTACCAGTCTTATATTGCAAACACCTCTTAGTTGTTTTCTTGTTTCATGAAAACATAAACTTAAAAAGCTGTTATTTTACTTGATAGGTATTTTTAGGAGATCAAATTGAAACCTGGGACTTAGCCCTTTCTAGTTATTATAAAACCATCAGTAATATAAGAGAGCAAGGAAAAAGAATCTTAGAACATGTTTTGTTTTAATCATCTTTTATTATTATTTTGTGGTAGTTTTTAGTTTTTGTAGGTATCAGGAGAAAAGATATGGAAAAGAGGTGAATTCTAGGATGAAAGGTATAACAGTAGACTCTTCTGTTTTAATTCAACTAAATTCTTTTGTTTGTGGTTTCAAAAGGAGTTAAAGTGGGTCAGAATTTCTCATTGAATGTTTCTACCATTTGAAAACTAATAAAACTCATTAAGCCTAAATTTTATATTCTACCATTCTATTAAAGGTAAGTGCCCTTCCTGTTGTCTCATCTATAATAATAAAAGCATAATAGGCAAGACACTGAGAGCAAGAGAAGCTGCAGAAGAAAAGCGCAGAGGTAGGGGGTTCGCGCGCGCGGAAAGGGTCTGGCACCTGAGGACGCGGCTGTCTTTTTGAATCCGGAGGGAGTCACAAGCTCCCGACGGCTCTGAACTCCGGTTCCGGGAAGTCTCTGGGGACCCAGGACTCATGCGGGGAGAAACTGGACTGTCTGGCAGCAGGCGAT